AAAACGATTTTTTTCCGATTTTTTGAGTTGAATTTAGAGGTCGCGCATGATTTTTTTACGTTTTTTAACACAAAAATTGCGCGTTGCAGCTTCCTCTGGACGGTCCGACACTGTTCTGATTCTGCATACTGTTTCCCTCTATACCTCTTTCGCCCCTATCACTTTGCGGGGGTCCGAACCGCATGCTTACTTCATTTTTATTGCCCAAAAGGGATTCATAATAACTTCAATTGCGTCTGTGAGGAGTGCCTTAACTAACAACGAACATTGCACCAAAACAATAGAGTAATGTTTAATTCTTGCCGTCAGGGTCGGCGCTACGCGCTCTATCGGCCAAACGGCTATTTGTGGGATTTTCACATATTTTATGGCATTTTTTTTTTACTTTTGGTTTTAAACCTGTGTCATTTAAAATAGTTGATTAGAAATAAACTAAACTGTACATTTTAACTGTACTGTTATTGCCCGCAGCAATAATGGCCACTGTTAAAAATTTGTTGAAAATTTAGAACACATTTGATGCAAAGTTTGATAGCAACAAATGTTGATAAAAAACAAAACATGTTTTAATCCAACAACATTCACAAAATTTTCTGAAACAATTTTTAATTTCAAAACAGTGGTCATTTACGTCTACCAGCACCATAAGTTTGTATTAACACAAACTTGTTCGTGCTGTTACGATATATCTTGCTATTATCAAACATTCCAACGGTTTTGTTGTAGTATGACAACATGGTGAAAAGTAGGGATCGTTGTTATGGACCACTACGGTCAAAATAGAAGGAACTTTGTCACATCCCAATGAAAACGAATGGTAGTGTTTTTTTTAACAAGCTAGTCATCACAGAGACTATGATAATTTGACAACTTTCTTCAACTGTGTATGGCTCTGAACCACCGTTTCGGACTTTACTTTCTTCTCTTGAGGTATAATTTTACAGGGGTCAAAGGCTGTTAAGACACCCCGCAAAGTGATGGGGGCAAGAGAGGGATAGAGGGGAAGAGTAAGCGCCATCAGAATGATGAGGGAGCGTCCAGGGGAGGCTGCAACTCGCTAATTCCGGCTAAATCGAAGTTTTTATGTTAAAAAACGTTTAAAATCCATGCGCGACCTCTAAATTCAATTTAAAAAATAGGAAAAAAATCGTTTTAGTATCTACTTGTCGGTCCGTTTACTGCGGCAATGTGTCTCGAGAACTTTTTGAAAACAGCATTTTTTTGGGACGGTCTAGCCGCGGGGTGTGGCCAGCTGCCCCCACCCTGCCAGCTGTTGGCGCGCTCCTTGAGGAGGTGAAAGCACCGCCAAAGCGGACAAAGCCTGCGGCGCGCATAGTCTGCAAACAGCAGGACCGCTCTGTGCGGGGAAATAACGGGAATAAGGATTCCATATTTTCATTTTTTTATTATGAGGAATTCGAAATGCCCAGATCGGCCGAGCCTAGCCGGGCCGTGCTGGCGGCGGTGACATGTACCCGGCGCGGCGTGCCTCAGACTTGACGGCAGGACCAGAGGCAGGGGAGGGCCACAGGCAGGGTAGGGCCCACAGGCAGAGCAGGGCCACAGGCAGGGTAGGGCCCACAGGCAGGGCAGGGCCCACAGGGCCGCACCGGTCCAGCGGCTCCCGGCCGCGCCGCGCGCCTCGGTTCCAGGCACAATAACTGGAACGGAGCGTCAGGGCAGTCGTGACCAAGTTTTTCTTTTTCTCCCCCCCCCCCTCCCCTCCTGACAGTCTGTCTGGCAGTGCCTCTCACAATCGCAGTTTCACTGCTACAGACTGACGCGAGCTGACAGATCTCGGCTGTGCCCCCGACAAGGAGAGCGCGACCGAGGCGAGAGGCGGTGCGGTGCGGACCCGCGCGGACAACATCGGCAGCCCGGGCGGCGGGGCGGACCTGCCTTTAGGCCCTGCCCTGCTGGACGGGCCCGAGACCGTCCCGGCCAAGGCTAACCCGTGCGCGCGCGCCGCTGCAGCGGCCGGGGGCGCCGGCCTGGAACTCTGCTGTTCCTGGAGTCTGGGGAGGAGAGGGGAGGCTGCTGCAGGCGAGGCTGCAGGGCTCCGCTGCCGCTCTGGTCCGGACGCGCGAGTCGCGCTGCGGGCTGCAACAACCGGTAGTTGCCGGGCTGCTGAGGCTGCTACCGCTGACTGAGTGGCGAACTGAAATTCCTGTGGCACTTTTATTTCGCCATGTCAGCAGCCAGCAGCAGCTCGTCGGCACGGCACGGTGCAGGAGGGGACCGGACATCGGCGGGGGG